AGTTCTATAGTAAGGTAACATTCCAATAGACAATATGCAAAGCTTTTTTTTCAGTTTACAGCAGTATTTATTACACAAAATTTAAGTAAAGCGTAACATGCCGATCTTGCCCCGATCTCCCCTATACGTACTTCTGGTACTAACCAGAAGTCACGTTATTTGCATTCAAAAAGTTTTCTCACATAGGAGTTAGATTGATGAGCGGCACGACTCAACAGGAAAAGTATGCTGTACAGAGGAAGACTACTAATTTCAGGTGTAAAGCATATATTTTAAATTAAATAAATTCAAAATATGATTAGAGATTGCAATCTGGCATTATGACGACGGCGCAATGAACAATTGCTCGTTTAATTTACTTATTTATCAGCACAATGATAACTTTTGTAAAATTACAATAAATTAAAATCAATTTAAACTAAAACATTTATACTCACCTTTTATTATAAATGAGCTTATACTTTAATATTTTAAGACGAATATGAAATTTCTTGCCTCAAGCTCGTATATAAAGTCGTCTGCGAGAATGTAATGACGATATCGACCAATAGAAACTATCATTAAATTTATGTTTTTTAATAAGTATTTAATGCTATTAAAACGTCCTGAATATTATATTTAGACATAAAACGAATTAAGAGTAGAAAATAAAAAATAAAAAGAGTTTAATCGATAAGGCACGTGTACATACAAAATGTGATAAAAAGAAAATAGATCATGAATAAACAGTAGCACCCATAAAATATAGAAAATAAATAATTTTATATATAAAAATATATAAAAGTAACTTTTAAGATAAATTGCAATTTTAATTACATTTATCGAAATTAAAAACATTCGGCATTAATCCACTTCTGCCAATTCAAAAATGAATAAAATTAATTAAAATTAAAACAATTTCACAAATTAGTTTGTAAGGAAAATGCCACATTCTCTTAGAGATTTTAATAAGTTTACCTCAACTGTATATTAAGTAAATGATTAATTTTTAGGTACAAAAAGTGCTCATTATTTGTATTCTTGTTTATATATATGAAGTTTGTAATTTAGTTTGTGTAAATACAATTTAAAATATTATATACTGTTCGTGTGAAATAAAATACAAATATTTCGTATTCTTTTCATACGACAATGAATTTAATTAAATTAATTATTTACCATTATACTAAAGTTTTCGACTGAAAACTATCAAAAAAATTTAATTATAATAATATTATTCATATTAATATATTAATTTTATAATCTAACAATATGTGGAAGTATTACGTAGAGGTAAAAAACAATAAAATCGTTTATTGTTAAAAACTTATTAGAGTAAGTTCGCAAAGTTTCTATCAACATCTGGAGGATTTTAATGCTCATAATTACTGTTTAGTTTTATGATTCTTATCGTTTTTGTCCTGCAATTAAATTTTATTACAGAAATATTAAATCTACAGTTAATACTTTTACTTTGTTTTTAATAATCAACAATTAAATTCAAAGTAACTCGTAATTATAAAATATTCAATCAATCAATCTTTATTTAATATATCAGGTGTTATTACAAATGGGGTTAAAGAACATTGTTATTTTAAGTTTGATACATGAACAAAGAAATTATATAATATATACAAAGTTAGTGTGGCAAAACCATCACCGAATAAAATTTAATAACAAATATCAGATGGCAGTGTAGCAACCCGAGCATCCATAGTAATATTGCAAGAATCAAGGTGTTTTCTCATATGCATCGCTGTTGTTCCACAAAAAAACAACATTCTGAGTCACATAAGACATTAATTATTTTACCATTTAGAAAACCTATTTAGTCTAAATTGTGCAGAAAATGACTTTATTTTATAACACAAATTAGACAATAAATAAGATGCTTGACTCCACATTCTATTAAGAAAAATTTCACTGTTCCAACCTCTTTCACTCAAATAATAAGCAGCTTTTAGCAAATATAAATTTCCTTGTCGTCGAGCACACAAATTATAAAATGTTTTTCTACGAGTGCGTAATTTTTCCGAGTTGCGAAAAAACTGACACCTAGCAAAATATTAAACTGAATTTTGTTAAAATTAACTTTTATATTATTAATTAGCTGTACTCGGCCACGCCTTGCAGTGGCTCAAAATGTATCTATTATAAATGAATAACACTCTCCGCGGGAGAGAATTTCGAAAAATCCCTTCTTAGTGTACATTCTCTTGACGTACCCTATTAATACACAATCAAACACGCAAAAAACCGCATCTAAATTAAAATAATAGAAGACCAGTTCATCACGGTAAGCCTTAATTTTGTCCCTCTCCCCGTAAAGGTAATTTCGATATCTATATAATATAAATTATATAATATAATATAATTTCGGCCAAATTACATAGTGTGAAAGTTACGTTATTGAATAAAACATCTTTTTAAACGCAATATTTATCCATTAATAAGTGGTTAAAGAATAAATTAAGATCATTTTAATCCAGAAATTATTTAATTATTCAATTTTTTAGCATGTGACGTATAATTTACATATATTTGCCTTCATAATAGCTTATCTTAAAATAGGTTTGTTCTTCCACGGCATCATCTACCATCAACAGCGTAATACGTTTGTAAATTTTCTAAAAATTAATTTTCCGAATTTACATAAGCCACTACTTTACTCGAAAAAAGTATGAGGTAGTTTTATCGTCCTTACGGTAGAAGACACCACGCTAATTAAAAATAATTATTTAGTGTTATTAAACATCTTATAAATACTTTAAAATAGTTTAATTTGTTTATTTACCTTCGTTGGTAACTCTCGAAGTTAATTGTATTCGCCATTTTTTCAACAAATTACCCGTGAGTCAATGCGCGACGTCCACTGAGTCACGTGTTGTTGTCAACGTGCCCCGCAATGATTTTTTCTGGAGTTAAAACGTAAACCGTGTACTTCTGCTTGCCGTGTATAAGTAACGTTTGAACGGCCGCAACCTCTCTATTAAGTAAATCTTTATTAAGTTTGACCGCAGTCGAGGTATGAAAAGTGACCCCTGTAGCTCCAAACTCTTTCGACCTTTAACAACTAAAATTTAACAGCATTAATGCTGTTAAATTTTACAAATTATGCAAAAATTACAATGCTAGTTTTTTAATAATAAATTTTGTTTTTACCTCATCCAAAGATATGAAACAAAATAAATGCTAACAACACACACAGTGCAGTACACTACGAAAACAACAAAATCAATTATTCACAAACAATGAAAAACTTTTCTACAGACAAATCAGTACTAAAAACAAACACTGATACATAGCACAGTGACGAACTCAAAAGAAATTTCTACTCTAACATGTTATAAAAAATTTGCATTCTATTCAATTAAAGGAAAAAATGGTACTGGGTAAGTAATGTCTTCTGTTAGTATTACACACAAAAAAAAAAATAATTTTAAATTACTCAATACTTTGCCTTTGTATTTAAACATATCCATTCATACAGTAAAACAGGCATGCAATAAAGCAACATCATTAAAATTAAATTAAATATGGCAATAAAAATTTTACAAAATACGATTGCTGTAAATATAGTAAATAAATATTTTTATATATATATTTAGAAATTGTATATTTTAAAAATCTAGTCGAAAATTTCTGAATGCTTTCCAATGTCTCATTGTTTAGTATTAAAAATAAGTATAGTAGCGCTATCAAAAATACCTTAGTGTAATCTAGTAATACAGTATTAAAGATACACCTTATAACGCTTCTTTTGAATAGTGATTTTTTATTCAAACTGCTGCTGTAGAAATTCTGCTGTCAATTCGTTCTAAACGCAATGTTCTTTTGACGGAAAATGTTAGTAACCAGGTAAGAGATCCGGACACATTCACTTCAAAAAATCAAACTTGAATCCAATTAAATTTACGCAAAGTTTCGTAGATGAAAAAAATGGAAAAACATTACATTCTTGACAACGAATACAAATAACAATACCGTAAATACTAAAATTGAAATGTGGATATCGATTTGCTCTAACATTCAGACAAAAATTTTAGTCTTAACTTTTCATATTTCTATCGTCATTAACATGAAGAAAGAAAATATTAACGCTGTAAGATTGTAATTATATTTCTTTCGCGAACATCTACTGCAATAAAAAATGAAATCACGCTCGTAATTATCATTTAAATGATGGCAATTATAAACTTGATGATTTATTTGCAAATACTAACTTTTGAATTATAAACAATCCGACTAATGACAATTTGCTTTTAAGAAAGAAAAATTACATTAATATGCACTTTAAATTTTCAATTTTGTTTTCTGTAAATCCAATAAATTCATTATTCCATTCACGTACATACACATCTCGCAGAAATTTTACAGCAATACAATAAGAAATAATCATTATTCGAATTTAACTTTACATTATATTCTCGTTTAGATTTCGCTTTTTTCTAGAGAAACTTTTGACTTCAAAAATATAAATCAACCGAAAAGTAAATATTATTTATAAGATTTCTGTCACCGGTTAGAATTTTGTCTTCAAATTTCCTGGCATCTGTTCCTTCGTCGCTGACAAAGTAACTCAGTTCAGGTGAAAACTCGATATCGGGTTGACCATTTTCAGCTCGGAAAAAGAAAGCCAGGAAACGAATTGACGAATATTTTTTTAGATACAACTTCGTTTGCAGATTTGCTACTCCCTCTGAATTGCAAACGGTCTCAAACGAAAACTGTCCGTTGTCCAAATTGTTAATATACGCGTATACGTGCATTGGAAAACTTTTGCCAAGCTTCACCGGAAATCGAAGAGCCGTGACGAAACAATCTTCCCTCACAAATACGTTACTGCTAAAACATATGTAACATTTTATCTTTCTGTTTGCGACCATGAAAGGATCTCCACGATTTATGTACAAGAACAAGTTACAATAATTTATTATGCTTCTGGTTTTTGTTTCTCGACTGAAGTAACTGGGATACGAGGAATAATTACCAGTCTTAAAAGCACGCCAGATATAAATCTTTTCTATCTCGCTTAACAAGTTCATTGTAAAAACACAAGATTGCAATTCGTATTCATTCATGGCAAGAAATCTGACTTTTCCAATAAATGGCTCCATAACATTTCTTATTGCATTCCTTTTCGATTTTTCACCCATCGAATGGAAGTTGTCTGCACCCTGTTTTTTTTTAACTTCTTCTATGCTCCACTGATACGCGGTGAGGAGTAAACGCGATTCACTGACAGCTTCATATATCCCTCGAGATAGCAGTCTATCAATTGTTGCAATTTTACAGCGCATAAAGTCAACTGTTGTAAATAGTCTTTCTCCGAGTCGGTCGAAAGCTTGCCAGCAATAATAAGTTATGACCAGATCACCGATCTCACGTGCAAAATCGTGGATTGAACACACGGTATTCAGGTTTATTTGACGAATGATAAATGATCTGCATTTCTTTCTTAAATCGTCTAACTCGTATCTTGAACTCAGATGATACAGATCGAAAGCGTGTTTAATAGAGGTCAATCCGGGATCGTTGGTCTGTACATAACTGTTTAAAAAATATAAATTATAATTCATGACAATGTATTGAAATTAAATGAAAGGTAAAGTATTGAGAAAAACTTACGTAACGAATTGTCTGATGATCTCGATTGGATAAGGCATAAGCAGTACTTTCAAATTTTCAACATATGTAATGAGAAGTTCCAAATTCCTGTTCAGGACTTTATTTAACTGAGCTTCTGATATAATAATTTCTTCGTTTTTTTCGTTTCGGATTCGTATCTCACCCGAAGAAACCCTAAACAAGAAAAATGTATTTATTATTACTTTTAAACAAACATGTCTGTTGTACTGTACGATAGTTGTAGTATTACCGACAATGGCGTATGAAGAATGAATGCATGACTAATTGCTATTTTTATAATATTAAAGCTTTTGTATTAGCTTATCATCTTGGGTTTTGATGGTTCCGCGATAATCAGGTTTTATTTCCTGGAAGCTATCGTACCAGGAAACGCTGTATTTTTTTTTAAAAGAAAAGACATCCTTAACACAGAAGTATTTTGGAATATGCCCTTCAGTAGACTGAAGAAGGGCGTTGCCCGAAATACAATTCTGTTAATAGAATATAGATATCTATGCATATTTTAAAGGAGACACTTCGTATAATAGATCATAGATATTATTTGATTATCAATAGATGTTAATACTAATATCTAATACTAATACTAATATGGTTTTTGACGAAGTATTGACGGTCCTTTTGTTAAATAAATGTCTTTTCGATACAGTACTTCTATCACTCCCAGACTAAAATTTTTAATGAAATGAAAAAAACAAAAACTTGTCTGTACAGTTTTCGTTATATAAAAATGTAAATAATTCAGGATTCGGTGGAATTGTTTTGTAATTCTTTACGGACAATAGATTTTTCTGTAACCTATTCTATTCTGAAAATCTATGCGTGTAGGTCTTTGTATACTGTACTGTTATAACTGTTAGTGCTAGTCCTAAACTTCGATTTCCTGGAATTTTTCATTCCATTCTTTCCGTGCTGAATAGCATCATTTGGTTCCTCGTCGTTTACAACGAAAAGGAGCGTATAACGTAACACTGTCGTACCTATATATTCATTCTGAATATGATTTCTCTCGCTTTGTAGACCGATAAATAATAAACCGGTCGAATAAGTAAATTTCTCTGTGATGTTATTTGGTATGGAACTTTTTATCATCGAACAAATAACTGCTTTAACACATACTAGATCTATTGTCTTAAATAAAACATTTTATTTTTATTGTGTTTAAACTGTCTATTAAATATGCCTTTTAAAAGAGAATTGAAAGAGAATAATTACCAACAAAATATATTGTAAAATTATTGGCATCAAATTAATCTTAATCAAATCTTTGTACAAAATGTAACTAATTAACTCATTCCTTTATCTTCCTTAAACAAATAAACGGCACTTTGACATTTTACAACTCAACGTCCCACCTACTAGTTGATGGAACTGAGGGATCCGCAATTTACATGTCGAGAAACACTGAACTACCCGAATTAAATCTTGTAGAAGAAAATGAGTATTAATTATTTGTATATTAAAAAGTAAACAAAGCTTATTAACTCAAACTTTAAAGATCAAACACAATTTCAACAAGAGAAGAGAAATTTATCGCAGTAGAAAACAGAAAAACATGTAAAATAATTCTGGGCCACTCACGTGAAAACGTTATAAACAGAAAACATTACAACTACATACCGACTCTGCACCTCTCGATCTGCCATTTCTTTGGCTGGTTTCCGCACTGACCTCTCGAGTATGACGTCGAAAAACGGAGGCAACACGCGCTTAGAAGTAAAAATGAATCATCACGGTAATTGGCTGCAGATGCCACATGACTATGACGTCACCGCCTCTCCGNATTGTAAATTACTAACTTCTGTATATGAATTTTCACTGCATGTTTTTATTTTCAACTAAGTTAACGTATCTTATGTTTATATAAATATAATAATGCCAAACAGATAAGATTGCAAAGAGGAATTACTGATAATTTCGAAATAATAAATTTAATAGTAAGCCGCGTATTTTTGTGTTACGCGAACGTTGTAACATATACAGCATATAATATTGTAAAAATTTATAAACATAAATGTAATAATTTGAACTTCGAACAAATAGACATCACTCGTTTGGAATTGTTCGACTTTTTCTACTCTTTCGTAAATCAAATCAGTTAATGCGTGTGAACACTAAACATATTCAAGAAAATACGTAAATTGCTGATCTTTTAAGGTGATCATTCTGCCTAGCAATAAGTCAAACTGATAGGGAATATTATAATTAAATCATTTTTGTCTAAAAATTTTCTGTATTGTTCTACGGCTGTATCATTTTTTGAATAATTACGTTTCATGTGCGTTATGTTAAACTTTATGTTAATGAGGAAGGGTCGAACTCAAAAGAAATTTCGACTCTAGCGTGTTATAAAAAATTTGCATTCTGTTCTATTCAATTAAAGGAAAAAATAATACTGGGTAATTAATGTCTTCTGCTAGTATTACACAAACCAAAAAAATATATTTTTAAATTACTTGATACTTCGTCTTTGTATTTAAACATATCCATTCATACAGTAAAAAAGGCATGCAATAAAGCATCATCATTAAAAATTAAATAAAATATATCAATAAAAATTTTACAAAATACGATTGCTATAAATATAGTAAATAAATATTTTTATACTTATTTTTAGAAATTGTATATTTTAAAAAAACTAGTCGAAAATTTCTAATTTCTCTCTAATGTTTCATTGTTTAGTATTAAAAATAAGTACAGTACAGCTATCAAAAATATTTTAGTGTAATCCCGTACTATTAAAGCTACATCTTATAAAGCTTCTTTTGAATAATGATCTTTTATGCAAACTGCTGCTGTAGAAATTCTGCCGTCAACTCGTTCTAAACGCACTGTTTTTTTTAACGGAAAATGTCAGTAACCAGGTAAGAGTTCCGGACACATTCACTGCAAAAAATCAAATTTAAAACCAATTAAATTTACGCAAAGTTTCGTATATGAAAAAAGTGGAAAAACATTATTCTTGACAACGAATACAAATAACAATACCGTAAATATTGAAATTGAAATGTGGATATCGATTTGCTCTTACAGTCTTAACTTTTCATGTTTCTATTGTCATTAACACGAAAAAAGAAAAGATTAATTTTCTGTGTAAAGCGTCTTTGTAATCCAAGTAATAATTTGGTAGACGGTCGAACAGCAATTAGTTAGAAAACATTGCGGTTTATTTAAAAAACACTTTTTTAAAACAGATGCATTTCGGGTTGGCTCGTATTCCCAACCCCTGTTTAGTGCTGTTAAAATTACAAAAAAACAAGGTGATTTTTACGACATTGGTAAGTAGGGCATAACAAAAAACGCGGCGTGACAATAAACATAAAAAACTTACATGTTATATGATGGTACAGCATAGACATGTGTGACAATATGTTTATTACATAGTTGTATGACTATTTCCTATAATATGAAAAAAAGGGCGTGGCTGTTTAATTAACACATCATTAATGAGAAACATAACATATTAATTTTAAAGTATATATAAACACTCACATTTTTAGTTAAAATGTATAATTCCCGATAAAAATGGGACAGAGTACAAATTGACAACTGGTGTAGCCGGCGTTCACCGAGTAACAGTATACCGACAAGTGATGTTATTTAAACCATTCCTAACATTCCGTATAGGGGGCTTTAAACAATCTTTAACGCGTGGAGGTGCCTTCTATTAATGTATACCATTGGGGGTCTATTGACATGCCTTCAGAAATATTAATTAAGTTATCTTTAGGGTGTTTTTTGATTTCTATATGTTCTTTATATTTCCTTTTATATGGGTCTTTTTCTAAATGTAATACTTTTATATTGTTTTTATTAATTTGGCAATTATTGTCACTCATGTGGTAATACCAGGTGGAAGTGTTATGTTTTAGGCGGATGGCAGCTTCATGTTCTTTAATTCTTGTTTCTAGTAATCGGCCTGTTTCGCCGTTGTAAGTTTTCGGATTTTGACAGTTGCATTCAAGTTTGTAAACAGTTTCTACAGTTTTAAGAATGTTTAGTTTGTTGTTGTGTTGTCTATTAATGTCATAATGGATGCTATGAGATATTTTGTTGATCAAAGATGGTGCCAAACTGATATTGTCTTTTTTAAGAATCTTATTACAGCCTTCGAAGACGTTTTTTATATATGGGAAGGTTTTGTATTTTTTGTTTGATTTATATTTCGTATTAAATCTATTTTCCCAGTATTGTTTTTTCCATGTGTTTAATTTCGAATTTAGGATAGTCGTTAAGTAGAAATTTAGCTTCTAACTCCTTTATTTTGATTTTTTGCTATTTATTATCAGATATTCTTGTATATAAGTTTTTTAACTCCATGATATAAACCGTTTTTAAATAAACCGTAATGTTTTCTAACTAATTGCTGTTCGACCGTCTACCAAATTATTACTTGGATTACAAAGGCGCTTTACACAGAATTTCAAGATACAGCAACCACATCTTCTACACTAAGAACAGATTAATGTTGCAAGATTCTAATTATATTTCTTTCTAGAACGTCTACTGCAATAAAAATGACAATTTACTTTTCAGGAAGAAAAATTACATTAATAAGCACTTTGTATTTCAATTTTGTTTTCTGTAAATTCAATTAATTCATTATCCCGTTCACATACACACACATTTTGCAGAAATTTTAGTGATACAGTAAGAAATAATTACATTCGAATTTAACTTTACATTATATTCTCGTTTAAATTTCGCTTTTTTTTCATAGAAACTTTTTATTTCAAAAATATAAATCAACCAAAAAGTAAATATTATTCACAAGGTTTCTGTCACCGATTAAGAATTTGTCTTCAAATTTCCTGGCATCTGTTCCTTCGTCGCTGACAAAGTAACTCAGTTGAGGTGAAAACTCGATATCGGGTTGAACATTTTCAGCTCTGAAAAAGAAAGCAAAGAAACGAATTGACCAATATTTTTCTAGATAATACTTCGTTTGCAGATCTGCTACTCCCTCTGAATTGCAAACGGTCTCAAACGAAAACTGTCCGTTGTCCACATTGTTAATATACGCGTATACGTGCATTGAAAACCTTTCACTAAGCTTCACTGGAAATCGAAGAGCCGTGACGAAACAATCTTCCATTACAAATACTTCGCTGCTAAAATATATGTAACCTTTCATCTTTCTGTTTTCGACCATAGAA